TCATCCATTCATTCATTCGATATTCACCCATTCATTTGTTTTGCTTGTGCTCAGCTTCCTGGGTCATAATGAGGAAAAGCATTGCAAATGTGTTCGAAGGATCCGGGTATGTTGTGCTTAATGATCTTCCACTATCACTGAAATACTTGGATCCTCCAATTGCATTATACCCTTTTTAATGTCGTATTGCACGATGCCTCGAAAAAAGTGGCCCAACGAGTTGATTTTCCTCGAACCAGTGACGTTCATTTTGCCATCATCGCGTTTACTCAGTTTGTGAAATGGCCGATGTATATTTAGCACGCTCTGTGACAATTTATATTAGTAACTTAAGCGAAGATAATTAATTACACGTAAAATTTTAAGGGGGGTTATAAACAAAGTGCAGGTACCATACTTTGTCAAAATGCATATAAATGTTGCTACATAAGTTTAGTGTTTATAAGCAAAATCAGTAGTTATGCGCACCACGGTTATTGGTTTGATTACGTATTTTTGCATGTTTCCAGTCTACAGAGAAACCGCTTGTACCGAGGTGTGGCTCCTGTGTTGTAATTTGAACGACTAATGCGTCAGCGTGCAGGCTGTGACAGTGTCATAATCTTAACATACAAAACTCGAGAAAGTTGGTGAGAGCATTTCTATTGAATTTTCGGCGTCTTGGCACATTTTGCAAGTTTTTTTAATCTTCTCGCGCAGTTCCCCACCCTTCTATACGTGGACTTTTTTACCTTCTCGCTGCATCGCTGCACTTTCCTTGGTGCTGCAACCCTGCCTGTTCAAATTAAATGTCTGCAACTTTCGAACTAAGCAGGACAAGGCGCAACGAAATATCTGTCCAATTTATTGGAGTTTACTGGAGTATATAAATATCACGGTGCTCTGACAACCAACGTGCTCCTCCCACATCTCATTAAGGTGCACACATTTGTGAGAGTTACTGTGTATTATATTTCAAAACTGCATTCCTCACGGCGCACATCATTCATGGACAAAAAACGCTACTGTAGCGCAGAAGGTTGAAGCTTCGACTTGGCCAGTAGAACAACCAGCCGCCCTACTATTCGATCATTCATTTTGATAGTAATTGGTAGTGATACATGTCAAGGAGTTAAACGCGCTATCAGCTTATTTGTATGCAACCCTCAAAAGAGGGAGCCATTGGCAGCTTTGCGCAAAAGCTGTTACGCATTCTGCACGATATTCTGGGCAGACAGTTTCTCTAAATGAATGAGCCAGGATTGGCCATTGCACCTCCCCTTAAACACCTTGTTGTTTTTGTCCGTCCATCTAGCATGCTGGCTTTACTGCACCGTTACTAAATTAGCTTTGGGTTTTGTCTTAGATTTAAGATGGGGTTGTGGAACAGTCAGGAAGATGAGGTTGTGGAACAGTCAGGACGGCTGCATCTGGCACATTCTACTTCCGAGTGCTTTCGTGTCTTACAGAGAACGAATGGAGGAGTTTTTGTATTTGACTTCCGAATTTCCTCATTTTTTCAAAAAAAATAGTATTTTGAAAGCTTCTCCAGTGAAACTGATGTCATAAGGCTCTAAAAGAGCCCAAAAGCTGTTATGCGTTCAGCACGATATTCTGGGCAGACAGTTTC